TTGTCAGCTTGGGCTCAGTAAGCTTGATTGTAGTTATGACTCTGACCCTAGGGAGAAGGGCACAGCACTGGTTTGACTCTGGAAGAGAAGCAGTGCTCAGAAAGCTTGGGCCAAGGGAGCCAAACACAAATGCAATTTGGAGATTGGTGGGCTTAGCTGTTACTCAGTAATCAGGGGTGAGGCACTGTTTAGTGGTGCCTCTAGTCCCTGGAATGGTGAAACTCAACAATATTTCAGTTTCTATGAGGACCAGTGCAGTTACAGCAAGACCCAAAATGGCAGAATTCAGCTGTCATTTTGGCCTTGGGGGGCTGGGAGTAGCACAGCTCTGACTCTATTCCCTGGGCAAAGGAGTGTCAGCAGCTCAGTCTGTAGGGGAATGGTACAGCTCCATGGAAACATGGTATTAGAGTAGTTTGGCATGTAAAGTAGGATGTCTCAGCTTAGCTGATGCTCTGTTTTTCTGGGATACAGTGTACTATGTCAGTTTAGCCCTGAGATGTGCTAAACTTAGCCAAGCAGCTGCTCAGCCAAAACACCCATTCCCCAGGGGGCCATGCATCACTTCAGCTCAGTTTCAGGAGAGTGAGGCATAGCTGTGACTGAGAGGGATATTTAAAGATCTCCTGAGAGAATGTGCAGCTTCAGTTCCCACATAAGAGGAAGGGGCATGGCCACAAATGGAAAGGTAGGTGGAGTGGCTCCACCACCACTTTATCCCTCAGGGTTGGGTATAACAACTGCTCTCAGATCAACATGGGAAGTCAGTTCAATGGCAGATTAGCCTTTGGTATGAAAGGATATCACTCACCCCGGGGTAAGACACTCTCCAGCAGCCCTTCTAGTTCCAAGATGGTGAAGCACAGTAGTTGTGTTTCCACAGAGTGGTGCACGGGGATGGCTCTTCTGGGAAAGCACAACTATGTGGACTACAGCAGGTCTTAGTGCCTGTGAGAACTGCTGGGGTGTTCACTGGTGAGGGCTGTAGGTGTCCAAGATATTGATGCAGGCTGCTGGGGTCCTTTCACTTATTTTTTCCTCACACAGGGGAGTTCCTTCTGGTTTCCAGATGCTCCTAGCTGGGGAATGGGGTGGTAGGGGCTGGGTATTTTCGTTCCTTCTCTATGGGACTCTCCTGAGTTTCTGTACTCACCAGTGTTTCTTTCACTCCTTTGATATGCTGCAGCACTCTCCTTTAGTTATTTTTCTGCAAATATATTTATTTGTCCTTTTATATGTCTTTGTGGGAGAGGCAAGCGGTAGGGCCTTTTAGTCAGTCATCTTGCTCCCTTACATTTCCTAAAAAAATAAAAATAAAAATAATCTCTTTCTAAATGTAAATAAACTTGTATAAAATATACTGGGGAAAATATTAAATCAGAAGTAAGTGTACTTAGTATCTGGGTCTGGACTGGCCAATATGGAGCCACAGTGGCACTTAAAGTTAATACAAATAAAAGACTCAGCTCCTCTGTTGCACTAGTCATATATCACATGCTCAACTGTCACAGGTGTCTCGTGGCTACTGTGTAAGACAGTGCAGACTTGTAGAACATTTCCATCACTGTAATCAATTATATCTGACAGTGTTGCTCCAGACAGTGATTCTCAATCTTTTTCTTCTCAAGACACCTTTAAACACTTAAAAGTTACTGAGGACCACAAAGAGTTTTTTTTAAAATATAGATTCTAGCCATTGAAATTTACTTTATATAAAATCAAAACTGAGAAAATTAAAAATATCAACTCAAATATTATTAGCAATCAGAGCACTGGCATTATCACATACCATAAAACCTCTGGAAAACTCTATTCTACACTTCTGGAGAGTCAGTCATAAAGGCAAACATCTTACTAACATAAAAGTATTTTCACCTCACAGACTTCCCAAAAGGGTCTCAGGTTCTGCTAGAAATCCCCAAATCAAACTTTGAAAGTCATTAGTCTAGACTCTGTCACTAAAAAGTTTTCTTGTTTTGATTTACTTCTAAATGCACATGGTACTTATTTTGTTTAACCAAAGGTTCTGCCAAATTTCAAGTGTTTGGCAAAGTAAAATAAAATAATCTTAGTTCTTTACTAAAGCCAGACTTCTTTGAGGGACAAGAAAATGAAGACTCACTGACTGAAGTGAAGTGGGGAGTTTCCTCAAAACACTAAAAGTAGAACTACCATATGATCATGCAATCTCACTACTGAATATGTATCCAAAGGAAAGAAAATTGGCTTTTTAAAGAGATATTTGCACCTCCATGTTTATTGCAGCAGTACTCATAATAGCCAAGATATGCAATTAACCCAAGTGTCCATCACCAGATAAATGGATAAAGAAAATGAGGCATTTATATACAATGGAATACTATTCAGTTATGAAAAAAGAATCAAATCCTGTCACTAGTGTACACATGTTTGAGCTTGGAGGACATTATGTTAAGTGAAGTAGAAAAGGAATAGAGAGGGAAATAGCACACGTTTTTACTCACATGTGGGAGCTAAGTGTATTAGTCCATTTCTGTTGCTTATAACAAAATACTCCGAACTGGGTAATTGTGAAGAAACAATATTTATTGCTTGCAATTCCTCAGGCTGGGAAGTCCACAGTCCAGGGAACACATCTGGCAGGAGTCTTACATGGCAGAAAATGGTGAAGAGAGACTCTCACATGCTCTCCTTTTAAAGCCCTCAGAACCATGCCCACAACCATCATTAAATCATCCTCTCCAAAGACCTACTTTTCAATTACCATAATAGGATTTCCCACCCTCTTAACACTGTCATAGTGGGGACCAAATCTCCAGTACCTGGAACATTGGGGGACACAATGAGGTTTTTTGAGGGGGGTGGGGGGTGTGTTCAATCCCCAGCACTAAGAAAGTTGATCACATAGAAATAGAGAGTAAAATGGCCCTTACCAGAGACACAAATGTATAGAAAGGGTGGGGATAGGGAATGATCGTGAATGAATACAAAAGTACAGCTAAAGAGGTCAAATAAAATCTAGTGTTCTATATAGCACAGTAGAATAAATACAAATAGCAACGATTTATTGCATAGTTTCAATTAGCTAGAAGAGAGGATTTTGAATGTTCCAGACACAAAGATATGATAAATGCTTGAGGTAATGAAGAAGTAAAATCAGCAGTTTACAGGGTTTCAGGAGAAGAGAGAGGGAAGAAGGGAGGAATAAATATGTGGAGCACAGAATATATTTAGGACAGTGAAACTATTCTGTATGGTACTGCAATACTGTAAGGACATCATGCATTTGGCAAAACCCATACAACTGTATAACACAAAGATAGAACCCTGATGTAAAATTGAGTTAATAATAATATATCAATATTGGTTCATAATTGTACCAAACATACCCGACTAATAAAACATGTTAATAATAGGACAAACTGTGAATGTGTGTGGAAATAGTGCATGGGAACTATCTGTATGTTCTGCTCAATCTCTGTAAACCTAAAATCGCTATAAAAATACAGATTATTAGTTAGGAGTAATTTAAAAAAATACAACAATACTGTCCGAAGCTTTATCTATGGCCCATGATAAAGTCGGCTGCTTTTCTTTTGCCATCAGCCATTAGAAAGCATCCCAGGCACTGATTCAAAACAACCAAAGAGCAGGCAAGCCACGGTGTCTAAATGACAGTGGCATTACCTAAAGACCCCATAAGGTGTATGTATTGACTCACTGAAAACCTTCAAATTAGGATAATAAAGAATTTTATCAGTGAATACAAAATCTAGCTTACTTGGCCACATTCTCAGAGACCATCAAACTGGGACCCAAGTAGTTGTGCAGAGATGTCAAGAAGCAGGACGTAAGGACAGAGCAAACATTGGACTAAAGAAATTCTGCCCAGCTGTGTGATCATACTAGTTCCTTGTACAAATTCTGTAGCAAAACCAACACATTGCATTTTCATCAGAAAAATTTAGCCAGAATGCTTTCATTTTCTTCACAAAGAGAAAACAGGTCATAAACTGTAGACATATGTATTAATTATTATAACTTTTAATTATTTAATTCTGTTGTGCCCTGCCTCATATCCTCTGGGTCCCCCTGCTGCTCAGCAATTCCTGCAGTAATCAACTCTGTGCTGCTATAACCTGACAGCACATGGTGTTAGCTACACTCCATAGCTCTTGTTTTCTGCCCTGGAGCTTCTCTGACAAGGGGGCACCCACGAGGGAGAGGCAGTTGACCCCCTTAGTGCCACTGTGGATACAGCAGGATGGGAGCTAGTGAATAAATTCTCCCCCCTTCTCTCCTTAGGGCACAGAATTCTTAGGCACATCTACACTGGATATTATCACTGTCTCTTCACATGTAGAAAGTTGTAGAAGTCCCATCCCTGAAGATCAGAAGAAGCATGATGAAGCATGGACTTCCTCAGGAGGGTATAATAACATTTACAGCTATTGAATCTGGAACAATTCAGAGGGATTTAATCTAACAAGTTTGTACTACACCTTCTTCTGACATGTTTGCAAGAAGAAAATCACTGGAACCAAAGGATGGATGGTTATATAACTTTCTAACATAGAGATGCTATAATCAATTAGAGAGAGAGAATGCAGTTAAGAATCAATAGCAACACTCAGTGATCACTGAGTGTGTTATACCCGAGAATTTTAGCTTAAGGCTGACTCCACTTGCGATGATTTTTAAAATATTATTTTAGAGTTCTTTAGAAGACTTAAAATACTTTTGGAATTTAATCCATTACAACATCCTAGATAAACTCGACAATTTGCAGTTATACAATTGTTCAATACGGGCAAATTATTTTATAAAGCCTCTCCTCTTTTCAGATCACACATGGTCAGACTATCTTATGATGCCCAGCACAGTGTGCTCCCAGCATAATAACAGATTATTCATTTGTGATTGACTTAAGCAGGAGGGGAGGCAGGGGCAGCACACCTGTGCGTCGCCTCACAGTGCTCCGCCCCAGGGGCTAGGTCAGTGCCCTCCTATAGTACCCTGGAATGGCCTGGAGCTCTAAGAATTTCCCCAGACTAGGGCATCTGGAGGCCCTGCAGGGCGTCCACCTCAAGAACATCCAAAGTGTGAAGGTGACGTCCCCGGGACCCCACTGCGACCAGACCGAAGTCATGTGAGTCCCGCCCCGCGGTGCTGCTGCTCCCCCAGAGTCGAGTCGCCCCGACCCTCCGGCTGTCCCCGACCCCGACCCCCTGCCCGACCTCCTGCCTCACGGGGACCCTCCCTTCTCTCTGCAGAGCCACTCTCAAGAATGGGCAGGAAGCCTGTCTCAACCCCACAGCCCCCATGGTTAAGAAAATCATCGACAAGATGCTAAAAAAAGTGAGTTATGGTTTCGGTCTACACACGTGACTGGAGTCCTTGGTCACACATAGTGGCATCTGCCCCCTGAAGTTTAGATCAGAGAAACCAGGGTTTAGCTGAATGACTGAAAAAAATCATTATTATTTTCACAATCAAGTTTGCTATTAAGATCATTAATCTGCTCTGGTGACAGAGGATATTTCTAGTGTCCTCCATCCCCACTCACACTCTTTCCCCATTCCAATGAATGTAAGTAAACCTGCTTTCATTAACATTCTCAGTGGTGTTGGCCAGTTATGTGAAAATCTTTCCGCCGACCCTCCCCCTCTCCCAATTCCTTCTAGGCTTCAGATGAAAAGCGGACCCTTTGGTTTTTTTTTGCAACGTGGGCCTTACAGGTCAGCGGTGAAGAGCAGGGAGTTTGCAGTGATACTGCACTGAGTACAAATGTGGGTTCCACCACCGATTAGCCATGTGACTTAGGACAATGTTTTAGTTTATCCAAGACTCTAAAACGGGGAAAATAATAGTAGCTCCTTCATGAGGCTGCTCTGAGGCATAAGTGAGGCCCAGTGTGACAGACAGAGAGCAATGAGGTTCTGGCTGTCTGTAGCCAATACTGCAGTAGAGATCACAGCACCCCACCCCATTCCCATTCTTAAGTAAGAGGATCCAGGAGCCTAGAGGTCTCTGCCACAAGCACAGGAATCACAGGCAGTAGGCGTTTGGGTGCGAGGCTGGTGAAACTCTGGAGCCTAGGGGCAGGACAGGAGAGGAGTGCTGTGCATCGGCTTTCCTGAGCACCTACTAAGGACAACCATTTTCTCATTACAGTGACNACCGCAGCCACCTCCCCGCCAGCTCTCCCTGCAGGCTCCGCCGCCCGACCTCGTGCCCAGCCCCATGGCCCGCGCCGCCACCCCCGCTGCCTCCTGCGCTCCCCGGCTCCTCCGGGCGGCGCTGCTGCTCCTGCTCCTGGTCGCCGCCGGCCGCCCCTCCACAGGTGGGACCCGGCGTCCTGGGATCCCAGCGGCGGGGGAGGGCTCTGGTGGGCGCCCATCTAGGGACAGTCCCGCTAACCGAGTCTCTTCTCCCGACAGCGGCGCCCGTGCTCGGTGAACTGCGCTGCCAGTGCTTCCAAGCCCTGCAGGGCGTCCACCTCAAGAACATCCAAAGTGTGAAGGTGACGTCCCCGGGACCCCACTGCGACCAGACCGAAGTCATGTGAGTCCCGCCCCGAGGTGCTGCTGCTCCCCCAGAGTCCAGTCGCCCCGACCCTCCGGCTGTCCCCGACCCCGATCCCCTGCCCGACCTCCTGCCTCACGGGGACCCTCCCTTCTCTCTGCAGAGCCACTCTCAAGAATGGGCAGGAAGCCTGTCTCAACCCCACAGCCCCCATGGTTAAGAAAATCATCGACAAGATGCTAAAAAAAGTGAGTTATGGTTTCGGTCTACACACGTGACTGGAGTCCTTGGTCACACATAGTGGCATCTGCCCCCTGAAGTTTAGATCAGAGAAACCAGGGTTTAGCTGAATGACTGAAAAAAATCATTATTATTTTCACAATCAAGTTTGCTATTAAGATCATTAATCTGCTCTGGTGACAGAGGATATTTCTAGTGTCCTCCATCCCCACTCACACTCTTTCCCCATTCCAATGAATGTAAGTAAACCTGCTTTCATTAACATTCTCAGTGGTGTTGGCCAGTTATGTGAAAATCTTTCCGCCGACCCTCCCCCTCTCCCAATTCCTTCTAGGCTTCAGATGAAAAGCGGACCCTTTGGTTTTTTTTTGCAACGTGGGCCTTACAGGTCAGCGGTGAAGAGCAGGGAGTTTGCAGTGATACTGCACTGAGTACAAATGTGGGTTCCACCACCGATTAGCCATGTGACTTAGGACAATGTTTTAGTTTATCCAAGACTCTAAAACGGGGAAAATAATAGTAGCTCCTTCATGAGGCTGCTCTGAGGCATAAGTGAGGCCCAGTGTGACAGACAGAGAGCAATGAGGTTCTGGCTGTCTGTAGCCAATACTGCAGTAGAGATCACAGCACCCCACCCCATTCCCATTCTTAAGTAAGAGGATCCAGGAGCCTAGAGGTCTCTGCCACAAGCACAGGAATCACAGGCAGTAGGCGTTTGGGTGCGAGGCTGGTGAAACTCTGGAGCCTAGGGGCAGGACAGGAGAGGAGTGCTGTGCATCGGCTTTCCTGAGCACCTACTAAGGACAACCATTTTCTCATTACAGTGACAACTCCAACTGAGGAGCATGAAAGAAGCAGCTCATCAGTGGCTGTTTCTGAAGCAGACCCTGCCTCTACAGGAATAAAAGAAGAAAAAGAGAAATAGCTTCTGAGGTCACCTGGATGCGGCTTAGTGTGTTTCAGCATCATCTGCAAGAGTTCTTATATTTATTAATTTATTTGTTTTCGAAGATTCTGTGTTAATATTTTGTGTATAAAGGTTGTGACTGAATCCAGTTGCACATTGCACCATTATTGTTTACTTTATCAAACCCAAGGTAGTTCAATCCTGATTCCTATTTAATTTGAAGGTAATAGGGTTTCTCTTCTTTTTCTCTCCAAATATATATAATAAATAAATATACATATAAAAAATACATTTTATTTTATTTTAAAATAAATAAATATAATATAAATATATAAAATTTTCCACTTCTTTAGTATGTTCACATTTTCTTGTAAACCCTTCAGCATATTTATAATAGCTATTTAAAAATCCTTTTGTGCTAATTCTATCATTCTGTCATTTCTAAATCTACTTATATTGATGGACTTTTTTATTGGTTATGTCTTATGCTGTTCCATTTAGCATTTGTAGTAATTTTTGATTGGATGCAGGAAATTTTAAATCTTATATTGTTGTGTGTCAAGATTTTGTTTCATTTCTCTACATCTTGGCTTGTTCTGACAAACAGTTAAGTTACTGGAGCCTCACAATGATCTTTTTAAAGCTCATTTTTGAGCTTCATTAGGGTGGTCTAGAAAGTGTGCTTTGCTCTAGGGCCTGTTTGCTATACCTCTAAGTCATGTCCCTTCTGTGCCACTGCTGAATTCCTTGAGTGCTCACAAGTTCTCTCTACTCTGACAGGTCAGACCTCAATATCTCCCCACTCTATGTGAGGTCTCAGAATTGCTCAGCTCACAGATGTCTGGTTACTCTTTCCCTGACTTATGGAGATATAACCTATGCATGTGTGATAGTATGGACTGAAGAGACCCAATGGGATCTCAATGCAGATATCTGGAGCTCTTTTTTTTCAGCACAGATCTCTCCTTTCTGCAACTCTATTTCATAACATCTTGCCACCTCAGCTTCCCTGAGTTCAAATCTGTGTCTCCTCAACTCAGCAAGACCACTGTGCCTTCCTTAGAATCTCCCTCCCTGAACTGCAGTCCAGAATTGTCCAACAAAAAGCTGGGGTGGTCATGGACTAACCTTATTTATTTGCTTTTCTCAGGAATTTTAGTTCTTTGCTGCCTTCTGCCCAATGTCTGAACATAGTTGTTTTATATCTTTGTTGAGTTTTCTAGTTGTTTGTGCCAGGAAGTTAGGATTGTCCCATTTTACTCCAACATGACTGGATGTGGAATTCTTGGTGGGACAATTCCAAGGAACATTTTACAAGGCTTCTCTGAGGCTCCGTGGAGAGATTACGCTGCACTTTAAGTTAAAACCTGGAAGCTGGATCCATAAGGTCTTGAGCAGGAAGAAAGAGTCTACAAACCACATCCAGGTCCTTACCTCCACCTGTGAAGAGGCTGCTCCTCCTACTGATATTTTGTCCTCCTCCATATTTTCTTTCTAAAGTGAGAGGTAGTCGCAATTGTTCATGTTTCTTTCAACAGTCCTCTGGGAAAAAAATAAGAAGGTTTGGAAGGGAAAAAAACAAATGAAGTATCGAGACCAGGACTGATCTCTGGGCAGCCAGGCATGAGTGTGGTCAAAACCTGAGAGTAACACACACACACACACACACACACAAATCAGTCTTTTCAATTTTAGATGGGACTGTGGAGGCTCAGAGACCACTAAGGAGTTACAAATTTCACAGAACTATTTTATTACAAATATGGGCTCGTACTGAGATATCTGATGTTTAGTATATGACTATTTTCACTAAACTACATTATTCTTATGACTGCCCCAAATAATACTAGCTTGAATCTTTGTTGTGGGATCGGTCTTCTAAAATTTGGAGAAGCAGCCTCAGAGTACTAATTAACAGTTAATAACCATTTATACCATGAGCCAAGTGGTAGGATAGCCTAAAGGAAATATGTATACTGTGACCAGACAATTTGAAATAAAAATGGGTTTGGCCACTTTTACGACGTGCTATGTTATTCTATCAGTTATCCATTTTATTCTGGCTCATGACTCTAGGTCATCAGTTTGGGCTGGGTGAGACGACAGCTTGTTCTGGGCTCAGCTGGGTGGTTCTTCTGATGGTCTCTCCTGGGGTCACTCATTGGCTGCAGTCACCTGGTGACTTTAGTGGGGCCACCTCATTCACACGTCTGGTGGTCAGTACTGGCCATTGGCTGGCCCTCATGTCTCTAGAAGATGAGCTCAGCTCTCTTCATATGGTGGCAGCAGCATTCCAAGCAGGCAGGGGTGGAAACCCCTGGGCTTTCTGTCTGCTGACCTGGGACATCCACAATATCACTTTTACCACATCCTGTTGGCCAAAGCAAGTTATAAAGTCAGCAGAGAGTCAATGGATTTGGGAAATTGATTCCACCTCTTAAAGTAAGGAGATGCTATGAATGTGTGGGTATGTTTAATCTTTCACAGTTATTGAAACTTTCTGATATTCAATTTCCTTATCTATAAGATAGAAATATCCCTTGTAAAGTTTCCAGAAAGCTTATTAAAAGTTCTTTGAGTGGTGTTGGCACAAATCAGAATACAATAAACATTTATTACCATTATCACATTACATTGTATCTCAGTGTAGATAAATATTTTGAAGAATGAAACATAAAATTACCGTTAAAAATGGGATTTTTCTGGTGACTTGCATTTTGTATAGACCTCAGACTTGTGTGAGTAATCAACTAATAAAATAGAGTGCCTATAAAGCCTGAAGAAGTTGACAGTCTCAACACCTTAAAGAAACTTGATCTAATTGTAAATTAATTCTCTCCAGACATGGCATAAATTTTAGTAGGTATAGAATTAGAGACTCATATTTCATATGAAAAATCACCACCTTTATAATAAACTCCTTAGTAACTATCATGATGTCCTAAGCCTGCCTGTGAAATTTTGGGAAACTAAATTAGTTCGAGTCTTCATCGTTTGGCTATCTTATCTTTTTGAACTTCCTTATTATCATTACAATATTTACACACATTGATAACACAATATTTCATCGCATTTCCTTGGCACAGAAAGGAAAATGAGACTCAAGGAAACTAAGATTGTATCTGAATAGTACTTCTG